AGCATTAGCATCTGCACTTAAGATGCTACTAAAAATCATAATCATGATTAATTAGTATAACCCTTCATATATAAATTACGAATATCTTTTTTTATCTTCTTATATTATAGAAAAAACTGAGAATATCATGAACAATATTTATAAAAAATAACTATTTACAATCTATAAAAGGAATTTGTGAAATTATTACTTTGTTTTCTTATCTTGATCCTAATATAAAATTCCAACTTCGAGACAAACAATCTTTCTCATCTATATATATATATATACATTTACCAACTTATATTATAACAATACCATCAGTTTGATTTTAAGTAATACCTATCGAATTATCTTGAATCAGCTTCTAAAATACTAGTTAAGATTTATTTAATAATTTTTCTATCCTAAAAATTAAAGAATATAACGACCATCATACGCTCACCAGGTTAAAATTGGTAAAAAAACTCAAAAAAACGATAATAAGAATAGAATGCACGAAACAGTTGATACGTTTCTTAAAAAAAATACGGTATTCTATAAATATCATTTATTTTATTTTTCTTCAATAGTTAGACTCAAGATTAAGACAACTTTTCACAATACACTATTTAAATCTTTAATTTAGACTGGTGCTTATAATTTTAGTAATGTCAGACCAGATTTGCTTCTATGTCACAAGATCGATTAAAATATGACACTACCTACACCATCACCCTTGTTAACGGTGACAGTTCTTCGTCTTCAGAAGTTGTTGATATTGTCACCCCACCTTCATCCACCTTATACACTACTGCCTACAACCATCTAAGGAGTAAAAATACCACAGGCTAACAAAAGTATTATATTTTCTTTTGTTTTTCTATACAACTGTCCAATAAAAATAAAACAAAATCCACTTGTTTATATTAGTTTTAACCAATATATAGTTCAGAGTACTCTTCTTTTAAAATCATTTTAAAGATACACTCAAAAGAATACTTCACATAGCATACTATAAACATCTATTACCTACAAACTCTTATATTTTAAAACACATTATTTTTTAATCATAATACTTCTCATTTCTATTTTATACTTTCCATAAAATGTACTGGAAACCCTCTATAAAAGTGCCTATCCTACACACTGAAGTATCGAAAGACTGGATGAGTTTTTTCTGTAATGTTAACTCTACTATCTAGCCTTAAACAGGATTATTACATGCTACAACAAGGAGGAAGATTTACGTACCTAGTCTATCTTCCTCCATTAGGACTCCTTTTAACAGTTCTTCTTTTTTCAAATATTTGCAACTTTGAATAACAATGCGATCTCGAGGAAATTCTATCCACTGAATTCGGAAAAACAAAACAAAATCTAAGCTTTTTTTAATGGACATTTCCCTTTTTGGGATAAAGCCGTAGTGTTTTTGTCATAATAATTTTTACTCTATTGTCAACGGCTTTCGAGCTAAATCTCACGAAAAATATCTGCAGTCAGAGAAAAAAAATTTTTCGACTTGTAAAAGAAAGCAAAATCTTTAATGGGACATGTAAAATCCTTAAATTACACAACTACTGGAATCCTGTTGTAGGTAACCATTTGTCCTTTGAAGAGACAGAGATTAGTCCTTTCAATCTTGAATTTCACATGGGTTAGATAATAAAACACCAAATAAACATAAATAAATATCTCAGAAAACTTCCTAATTAATTACTTTTGTTAAGACCCCTGCTAGCCAAATCTGTTTTAATGATGGAGTGTTTTCTATTATTATATTTTTGAAACAGACATCCAACAATTACTACAAAACACTTTGTTTTCCGAGGATACCTGTCTTCGATTTTCTTTCATATAGATCAAAACAGGTTATGTGGGACTGTTGTAATAATAGTAGTCATGCTTGTGCTTTTCAATAAATCATTCTAAAATCTTCTGGATTTGTCAAAATCCTTAGAAAACACAATCATTATGAATAATATAAAGAAACTCAATCAAACATACAACAAATATGTCAAATATACCTTTTTTATAGCAATGCTAATTATGAAATAACAAAACAATTTATCATAACAATAATATTTCTGAAGAATACATCTGTGTAAATATAGACCATTTTATTTTTTTTAGATTTTCAAATATTATCATTAATTATATTAATATGATATTGTCTTTAAATAGTCAGTGATACACTTAGGCATTATATGCAATAAAAAACACAACAAAACTTTTTTCAAGATAAATTTTATACTAATGGGGCGATATTATCAATAAAGTAGCAGAGATTTCTAATATTACACATGAATAATCATTCAAATACAGAATAAACACAAGTTACAGCGAGTAATCTCCACTGCTAAATTAACACTTGGAAAAAAAGTGATTTTAACAATAAATTTGAAAGATAAAATCTCTTTTGAGCCATATATTGAAGATGATAGCTTACTAAATTTTACAATTGTAACATAAAACTACAAATATTTTATGGTAATTTGGATACTACAATATGAAAATTTGTTATTAAAAATAAGCAATTAAACGAAAGGAACAACATTTTTACTTTGAATTTTGAAAATTACCAAATTTAAGGAATATTGATGTCCTATATCTCTGTTAAGTGTAAATTAACCTTAGTATACTTGGCAATTAAAACTTGAAAAGGACTCTAATAAATAAATATCCTTAGTCGCTAGTAATTATTAAAACATCTCTATTATACGTAAAAGCACCAAATTCAATTCAAGATATAGCTAACTTACATTTATCTGAGTATTATTCAGTTTTGTGATTTGTTATAAATCTATTAAATCTTTTTAGTATTCCTAAAATAACAATAGCAATATACACTTGAATTGTTTTAATTTTCTTTTTGCCTCTAAAAGAATAAATATACTCACCGATATTAACGTCGTTACTATGTCTCTCCAAGATACTGTACCGTAATTAATTTTTGCTTTTCACTATGTTTCTAAAACAATACTTCTAATACCTCCTCAAATTTATAAAGCATGAAAATTTTGATGGTTTCGTAGTTATGTAAACATTTTCTTATTATCATTAGAATTAGAGCTTTTGCTCTTCAATGAATTAAAATATGTTCTTAGGACAGTATGCTTTATAACATAATATAAAAGATGTTTACTTATATCTGTTAGAAGTGTTTTTTGTTTTTTTAAAGATCTCTGGATATCTGATATTCAACTGTAATAATATAAAAGAATCTCATAAATGACTGTATCAATTTTCCCTATTAATTGAATACTAATTAGAAATATGCTTGGGATAAATTAATTTGAACTTACAATTTCATTTCTATGAACTTCATTTTTTTTATATAATACAGGATACGACAATCTCTTGTTATACTAAATTCCTATGGGTCAAAAGATTTTGTATATATCATAATGAGTATGTTTTGGGCATTATTTCTGTTAACTATAATAAATATTTATACAATAATGAATCAACTACTTCTTGTAGGTTGCGGATTGCATACATTTCAGACTAGAAAAAATGATTCACTTCCTAATACTACATAAAAACATTGATGCAATAACATCAACATCTAATACGATTAAAAAAATGAATGTCCAAATTTTTCTGATCAAAAACAACAGAAAAAAAAACTGTTTTTCTTCCGCTGAAGTAATGAAAAAATGCATTTCTTTCGAAGTGAAAATAAAACATTTAACATAAACAACTTTATCTACTATGGATCGTCTTAAAAAACTTTAGCTTACGTATTGACTGGCTATTCTTCTCAACAACACCATATTAGTTTTCAAAGAAATTACAAACTTGGTATTCACTAGAATTTTCCAATCCATTTGAAACAAAAACAATAAATACCATGAATTATTGGAACAATAGCTATAGCATATTCCCCCTTGATGTCAAATCACAATTAAAATTCATAATTAAAACGTTTATAGTATTATAATTACCTCTGCTTGTTTGGAAACATCTATTAGCCCATTTTACGATGAAAGCAAGTAGAAAATTTCATGTGAGTGAGATATTTCTATTTTACTATTATGTGATCATTTAAAGGAAAATTTCTCAATGTTTGTTCCAAACAACAACAGGCAAGATGTCATGCACAAAAGTAGTCTAAAACAACATATTTGTGCCAGTTGCATAAATGTCAAAAAGGAAATTGCAAGATTTGAAAACAAAACTACTATTTACAATGAAATTATGCAATCTTAAATTCGACTACGTTATTATAGTTAAAAATGCCAAATAAGTGAATGCAAATAATTTCTAGGCTTTAGCATCTATTGCAACTGAAATATTTTGATAAATGATAAAGATTGGCAGTGTTGTATTGATGCTAACTTTAGCAAGTTAAACTTAAATCAGGTTCCATAGAGACAATAACTTATGTGGAGTTATATTTTAACACATATGATAGAATTGATGATTAGCACAGTAGTATTGAAGATAGTTGGTTTATCTTAGACAATAATGAATTTTATATCTAACATTTCTATTACTTGAGCCTTAGACAAATTGGATCTCCATTTTATTAAAAACTATGCAGAAAATATATATGGTGTTTATAAACAAACACACATTGATCCTTCACTATTTCTTTTTCTTGAAATATTTTCTTCAAAAAGTTGTTTTAATGATCTACAAAAATCACTTTTAAATAAAAAAGTAGTGATTATCTGCCTATTATTCAACAGTTTTGATAAGTATACTAATAATTAAATAAAAAGAAAATAAGGCAAAAGCTAGTGGATATTATTTTACAAATAAAATAACAGATAGACTTTTCTTACCTATGGTTATAATATTATATATATCTAGAATCTTTATTGCTATATCATAATAAATAGAATTCTAAAATTTATTAGTTCACCATTAAATAAATATGAAATCCAACCTTTATTAATGCGTTTAAATAATTTATATATTACAACATCTAAATTCTTCACATAATACTATTAATACTGACAAATGAATAATATTTAGTGACATGATTTTTGGAAAAGATAATACAAAGTGAAATATTAAAAACTAATGGGTGTATGTTATATTTCTATTATTTTGTATATTTTATTAAGTTTTAAAATATAATTAGATGTAAACATTCCAAGTATATATAATGACATTTGGTACGAAATAACACTTGAATTCTTTTTGTGTAACTGTTTTAGTTCAATATCATTATTATTAGAAGTGATGTTATTAAAAGATTCAAATGGTTCAGTCAATGGAGTATGGGGTAAGGGTAGTAGTAAATGATCTAATTTGGAAACACTGTTGCATCTCCTGAAGGACTTTGTAGTATATTCACCATCATATGTATTTGTAATAGTATTACGATTATTGTTTCTCATATTCACTAATGGTTCCTTTAAGTTGGTCTTCTTTCCATTGGATCTTGGTTGAATTAACTTTTTTGGATTAATCAATTTTTCAAAATGTTTGTTCTCCAAATTTATTACTTCTTGCATTTTCATGTGATCTCCTTCATCAGCTGTATTTTCTAAATCATCTAAAGGTACTACATCTTTTTTGTATCGACTTGTTTTTGAAGATTTTATTTCTGTTTTAGTTTGCCTATTAAACTTTGATGGTTTCCTCATCAGAAATGTCTTCACCGAGACGTTGGATACATTATCACCAAGTGGAATAATTTTTGGTTTATTTGTTTGAATATTATTGAGGTCTACCTGCTCAGGTAGCTCCACAAGGTCGACAGTCTCTGGGTCTTTCGATATTCCTTTTACTTTGCTCCCATTCAGCTTAGTTCTCTTAGATATAGGGTTCCCATTCAGTATTTGATTCAAAGATATAGATCTTTTCATTTTCACATCTATTGGAGTAGTTTGATTGTTTTATATTGTCTCTTTAGAGTATCAAATATGATCATTGATATATTTCAGTAGGATCTTCAGATATTTGGTCTCTACGATAGCATTGAAGGATTCCATATAGATAGTGACGTATTCCTCACAACTGAAATGAAAAAAAAATATCGTCCTTGAGACATATAAAGTTGTATTTAAGAAGGTCAACAACTTATACAACCCCTGTTGTCATGCTTTTTAGGCAAAAAAAAAGAAAGCATCATGATGATGAGAATGAAGAGAACTACTAAGGTCATGCTCATAGTAGTAAGACAAGATTCAATATTTTTAAGTAAAAATAAATTAGACCAACTAAAAGTGTCCTGTAAATAAATTATATTTAAAAGAATATCTTATACAAAAAGTAAATAAATTTCACCATAAGTGATATTAATGGCGATTGCCAGATGTTAGTATAAAAAAATCACAGCGCCTATCAATTATTAGTAAAAGTTCAAATGCCTCTCTAGAACGGTATCATAATTAGATCAAATGAATAAGAGCCATTAAAATAGCACTGAATAGAACATCTGAGGTCAAACTAGCTGCCAAACCTTCATATTTTGCAATTGTAACACTTGCTGCAGAATTGGAAGCAGAAGTAATAATGCTTACAGATGGAACAACATTGGCATGGGCAGATTCCATGCTTACTTCTGAATGTTCAATAGTGGTAGCAGCAGAAGCTGAAACAGAACCTGTCTTAGCACTGTCTGGACATGAAGTAGTGTATGTAGTGATAACAACACCATCTGTAGTATAAACTGTGCTAACTCTCAATACTGGTTCGCCATGTAGGGCAGTTTGACCGTTTTGGGAAGAAAACGAAGAGGTAGCGGTGGATAGTGAGCAAATTGGACATTCAGTAACATCTACCGTGCGTGCGCTCTCAACAGTAGCGGTCGTAACGGAGTGAGCAACATTTGTTTTAGCAGGTGCACCTTCACTAGCAACATGTGTCTTACCACTGGCACCAATAGCAGAACCAATGCTATTGTTTGGTGCGGAAGTTCTTGTGGTGGTTGATCTGTCAGTAGCATCAATAGCAGAACCATTACTGCTACTTGAAGTAAAATTGTTAGAAAGGGTGGTCGATCTATCAGTAGCATTGATACTAGAACTACGGTTGTTGCTTGAAGTAGATCTCTTGGAAGTAATGGTTGATCTGTCAGTGGCATCAATAGCAGAACCATGACTGTTGCTTGAGGTAGATTTCTTGGAAGTAATGGTTGATCTGTCAGTGGCATCAATAGCAGAACCATGACTGTTGCTTGAGGTAGATTTCTCCGAAGTAGCAGAAGGGGTAGAGGATGACTTAGGTTTACTGGAAGTACTACTTGAAACAGATGCTTTCAAAGGCATAACATTTTCAGGGAATTCACCTGCATAATTACCAGGAGGTGCATACTCACAAACAACATAATCACGATAATAAGAACCACAATGTTTTACAGCACAACCAACCTCCTTGGTGGATCTCCAAACAACTTGTGTAAAATGTCCAGTTGCCATGGAAAAGCCAGGATGGCTGTAATTATAATGAGCAATTTCACTATACCAGGCGTCCACAGCAGCGACTGCATTAGGAAATCCCAGGGCAAGGTTTTCACCGTATGGACCACGAGAGTGCACGAGTCTACCAGAAGAACAATCATAAACGGCAGCATACTTCTCGGCATATACAGCTAAAGTATTAGACCAGGTCAAATTACCAGTATCGACATGCAAGGCTCTCAACTTATTGTGTGCGAGAACAACAGCAGCCTGTTCTTCTGGAGTCAACGCGTATTTAGTATAATCAGTAGATGTTGTTGCAGTGGTGGTTGATCTGTCAGTAGCATCAATAGCAGAACCATGACTGTTGCTTGAGGTAGATTTCTTGGAAGTAATGGTTGATCTGTCAGTGGCATCAATAGCAGAACCATGACTGTTGCTTGAGGTAGATTTCTTCGAAGTAGCAGAAGGGGTAAAGGACGACTTAGGTTTACTGGAAGTACTACTTGAAACAGATGCTTTTAAAGGCATAACATTTTCAGGGAATTCACCTGCATAATTACCAGGAGGTGCATACTCACAAACAACATAATCACGATAATAAGAACCACAATGTTTTACAGCACAACCAACCTCCTTGGTGGATCTCCAAACAACTTGTGTAAAATGTCCAGTTGCCATGGAAAAGCCAGGATGGCTGTAATTATAATGAGCAATTTCACTATACCAGGCGTCCACAGCAGCGACTGCATTAGGAAATCCCAGGGCAAGGTTTTCACCGTATGGACCATGAGAGTGCACGAGTCTACCAGAAGAACAATCATAAACGGCAGCATACTTCTCAGCATATACAGCTAAAGTATTAGACCAGGTCAAATTACCAGTATCAACATGCAAAGCTCTCAACTTATTGTGTGCGAGAACAACAGCAGCCTGTTCTTCTGGAGTCAACGCATATTTAGTATAATCAGTAGATGTTGTTGCAGTGGTGGTTGATCTGTCAGTAGCATCAGTTTGTGCCTTGCATACATCAAAAAAAGCAGCTAAAAGCAGTGGAGCACACAATGATAAGGTACTTGAGATCATTGTATTATTTTCAAATATTCGGAATTATTAACTTTTCGGCAAACCATATAGTTTGGTGCGTACACTTTATGGTATCAGTTCTTTTTGGTTATTTAAAGTGATGCACTTAGTTCAGTTATAGTGTCGACACCTGGGGGCATATCGAGGTGACACTCATACCTGTAAAGGGAGGAGTAGGACACGAAAGAATGTTCAAACATAATTCACAGTGCTTTTATATAAAAATGTGCTCATGACTTGCAATAAAAATGATTGTCTGATAGGTTCTAGTTTTTTTGACTAAATCAGACTAAGATACAAATAAAGTTTTGCAATAAATCTTCGATGATAAAAGTGTGTACAGGAACAGAAACAGACAATGAAGAAGAAGATTTGTAATCTTTAACAATTGGACTAAAAGTCCAAGTAAAGCCTAAAAACACAGCATAGTCAATCATTCTGTTATTTCTAATAGGAAAAAAATATCACTGTGTGGTTTCTTTAAACGAAAAAGGAAACAGAAAATGTTGAGTCCTCGAAAACATTTCCAAATAGAGAATTAAAAATATTGTTTATTATTTAGACATTTTCACGTTGCAGAACAATAGAATCAGTTTTGTCTAGATATTTTACTTTTGAAAAACATAAAAGGGAAAGCTTACAAGTTTAAGAATGGACAAATAGTTTTTTTTTTCTTTTTTTACTATTGTGTTGGAAACAACCGCCTTTGTATTTAATGCAACGACAAAAAAAATAAAAGTGAAGAATACTAATTACACAATATTGGGAAATATTACACAAGTAGAAAAAGAGGCAGTACGGACAATTCTAACCACACTATTGAGTTGTCGAATCGTTTTCCACAAACCCTAGCTCTAAATAAAGATGAAAGCTAGAAAAACCCAGAATATTATTTCATGCCCGATTTTTATCATGTTAGTACGATATAGATATATATGTCTCTTTGTGTTCTATTTTTAAATTTTTGTCCCTGAATTATTTTAGAGAATCTCCACTCTTACAACATTAGTTTAACATTTTGTTTACAATTGAAATTGTCCTAAAATCTTATGTTCTTTTTGTATCTATTTAGTTTTTAAGGATCATCGCCCATGATTAGTTAGTTATTTGGTGTCTATATCTCTTTTGTACATATCACAATATTCTATAGTAAATCGATCTATAGAATGTCCAAAATTTATTACTTCATTCACAATAGAATATTAAAATTTTTGGTAGTGACCGTGGGATCGAATAGGAATGTATAATTTAAAAAAAGGGGTAAAGAATTTTTATTGCATTGTTACTGTTTGTACATAAGTTATATACTATAAGAACCATCAACAATTTTTTTTCTTTTTTTAGTTCGTATTGCAAGAATCAGCACCTTATATGACGTTAGCATGTAGTAATATTTTTTATAATATTCAACAATCGTAGTAAAATTGTTCTTTTGTTAACCAAGAATTTATTATTTAAAGTTATTATTGTTCTATTAGAACATCTATTATGATAAAGATCTAAAATATAATTATTCTCCTGGCAGATTTGGATCTCAATTAGACTTTTTAGTGTGATATTCCTATTTCCGATTTTTTCTCTTTTTTCTGATCTAGTATAAGAACAATATAATTTGTAAAATTCAAAATTCTCCATTTAAGTGGAGTATTTTTTTCTCCTTTTCGGATACACAATATGTAAGACATGCAAGAGTACTATTGAACTAGAAAAAATGACGTATACCTTGTGGAATCCTTAAAATCTTTTACAATGTCGTTTAATGATAGCTATTTGGTTTAATTTTAAGACAAACAAGAAAAAAAGATGATTATTATTATATTCGACCTATTGTTATGATGTTATTTATTTATACTAGGTCAAAGGGTGGTAAAAAGTTTGTATCTTTTTAAAGTAGCAAGACTTGATAACAGAGCATTTCTTTTTGTTTTTTGTTTGTCAATTGATGGTTGAATGGAATAACTTATAATAACAGGTTCTACATTTAATAAAGTCTACTTGATCTAGCTTATATACCTTAATGTGAATGTAAGTGCCCTTATTATAATAACAAATATATAGTATGAAACTTCGAGAGGTTATTGCTGGAATGATATATTAATGGTTTGAGAAACATGTAAATATATCAAAGACGAAAAATGTTTGGTTTGCACATTTAATATTAGGGAGATAAGATCAAACAGAACAAAAATAAATTAATATATTATAAAAAATTGCCAAAAGGTAAACATATATAAGTAGGCGACTTTACTTATTAATTTTCCAATTTAGATAAGCTACATTTTATCGTATGCCTCTTTCATATCCATATAATTATTAATTTCCAAAGAAGAAATCGAGGGGAAATTACTCTACATATTAACATAATAATAATACATGATAATAACATATAATATGATCACCGACGCTAAAGACATGCATACTAATATTATTCATTCAGAGGAAATACTATACAGTATACTCATTTTATCTTCGAATCGTTAATGTAAATTTTCATAACTTTCAATCACTTAGTACGGTGAATTTAGATTATCAAACATAGCTCTAATCATATTTCAACATAGTAAATAGAATAGTTTTATTCTTCTTCTAGATTAGGCCTATTATATAAAATACGCATGTTAATGCTGACAATTACCTCTGGCATTATCTCTCAATAGTCAATGGTCACTTAAATAAGCTTCTTAATAATTTGCTACCAATGTCCATCAAGTATTCATTTGTTTGTTCAAATACACTAACAGCCTTGGACCAAGAATTTTGGTTGTTCCAAGTCCTTCACTGCGACATTTGGTGTTATCCGCAGGCTAGGTATTTCACTATTTCCAATTAGAACTTTTTAAATCTGTATGTATTGTAATATTTAATTACTATGTAGTTAGTAGTGAAACAGAGCTCTTCATTATACAAAATATAGAAATATACAGTAAGCGTGTATAAAATTGTTAGAATTACATAGGTGTATTGTTGAAAATGGGTGTCTATAGTGATTGGATATATAGGGTACACAGTTATCTTCAAGTTTTTTGGTTTCTTTCTTTATATAAGATATATAAGTATGTTCTCCATATTTTGTTATCTATATTTATTTGTTAAAATTCAACTATTTTACCTATTTATTCTAGAACATTCGATTTCCGAAATCTTCTTATTATATATCTATCAGATTCAAACTAAGAGATGAATTAATATTAATAACAAAAACAAAAATTATATATTTAAGTTATTAATTAAAAATAATAACTTAAAAAAACTGTAAGTTCATGTATAATATTAGCATGGACTTCATAATATATTACATAAGATACTGTTGAAAAACGGTTAGAGATATCTGTATCAAGTTAATTTCTTCATACCAAATAGCTGAAAAGATTGAAAATTTTTATATTAATGAAGACTCAAGTATAGAATGAGATGTATTGTATATTATATTTTGTATATTAGTGAAAGATGATAAAAGAACCAAAAAATAAGAATCAGCACTAAAACATCACCAATGTCTCACTAAAATTGAATATTCTATAATAAAACAGAGAGATCAATTAATTTTTATAAAAAAGAACTTTAAAAACTATCAAAAATCAACTCTTTTTTACATTTTGATTCTATTAGTGTTTTTGTATAAAATCTCATGCCAAATAATCTTATTTTTACCCTTTTTGGAACATATCTAAGACTTGCAAATAATTATTTTGTTACATTGAATAAGAAAATTTCCATAACTTGATATATAAATAATCAAAATACATTCTTGAAAAAAATCGAATTTCAAAACTTTCTTAACCTCTTTTTCTATCCCATTTCTTCTTCAGCATTAAGAAAATTTTAATGAAAATAATTCAACAAATTTCAACGTTTTCATTTCCTTAGACAACAAAAAATTATGATCTCTTCGTTATTAATTTTTGAATATTACTTGCTCAATTATTGTATAATAACGGAGAAGATGAATATCATTTAATTTGTAACATTATGACCACTATTCTATTACTGTTTTTTTTTTTTCAAAGAATTTAATTATCTAAACTAAATTTATTATTTATTAATATGTAACTCCTATTTTCTTACTTCCTCATATGATATAGAATAATAATAACCTTAAATCAATTGATAAAAAACCACTGCTCTAACATCGGACAACTAGTAACAGATTTACCAAATATTTCCAAAGAAACTGAGAATTTGACAATGAACCTTACACTCTATTAAAAATTACCAATATTGAAAAGTTGGCCAACAGTAGTGGTGAATCTAGGGAAATTACTGATAATAGTGACCTTTTAGATAAGACATCAAAGAAAATGAGTTTGTTAAGTTTAATTTTATTGATAAATAAAAACTCTCACAACAAATTTTCAACAATTCCAAATCATACTTATGAATTATTAATAGGGGATAAGTTTTGTAGAAATAGATGCATAAAATATAAACATGCCATCTCCTAGCTTACAGATTAGCTACACTGACTGGTTTTGATAGCACAAATAGAAATGGGAAAACAGTGAAAAAAAACACTCACAATTGCCTAACTTTTATTTTTCGCGAGATAACTGTTGTTATGGATATTGTAATATACCAGAAGAAAGAGCTTGTTTGTTTATTTGAATATTACCTTTTCAGAAATATAATGTTTTCATTCAATACATTATGTGTTCCACATGCAACAATAGTTTTATTATAACAGTTTTTCTTATTAACTCTAGTTAGAATATTTCTATGTAAACTTGTGCAGAAATAGTTAATTATGAATGGAAGTATCTATTAAAAAAATAATGCAGGCTCATTATACTTAACGTAACAATAATGGTCTAACCCTATTAAACTATTTCTTTACTATGCCTTTTGATTAGATTCTTCTTATTTTCAAGAGCATCTAAACGAGAAACACAGAAAAATTTTTACAAGTAAGAAAACTAAGAAAAAAATAAAAAATGCAATATTCACACCCCTACACTATGCTTTCATAAATATAGAATTGTTGACTTTAACGTTTAAAAAAGAATTATTATACTTAAAAGTTATCTGGTGATATTCTGCACATACAATAAAGCAAAAGATATATTTTAAATTTTCAGAACTGAACTGTCATTTTTTGTACTATTATTATTAAACAATTAAATTCCTATACAGTCAGCTGATATGTAAAAGGTAACAATTAATTTTCCAGATCTCCACTCAAAAAAAAATTTTAATACAACAATGGTGTTTTCTATAATATGTGCAAGTGCTTGAACTATTGTTCAATATTTCCTTTTTAGGTGTCAAAATGGTGGGAAAAATCCCATCTTGTATTTTCTTAATTTTCATAAAAAAAAAGAAAAAAAAACCACAAACCTTGCCCTTCTATACAAAGCACAAAAGAAAATGACATAGTTTAAAGACCTGTCAATTATGAAGTCTCTAAACTTTATAAGGCAAAACTTAAATAAACAGAATATGTTAAGAACACACAAGGCACATTAATTTGAAATGAAATAACTAATTATGCCAAATTCTTAAATGCACATTGTCATTTGTTGCTGAGATGATCGATTTTTGATAATATCAACACACTATAAGTATTTTGTGTTTCTTAGTGGAGTATGTACCTGTCATAACTTAGTACCTTATGTATAAAGTAGTAAAGATACATTCTCAATTTGAAAACTCTATTTCAGCAATTTCATTGGGTGAAGTGCCACTTTTTATGTTTAAGATAGGCAACTAGTTCAAGACAGACAATTGAATAGTGAGAATATAACTATACATGTTTTGTATTTACCTTTAGTAATAAAACATAGGGAAGAGATATATTCATTGAGTATTCTTATCCACTATTATTGAAAATAATGACTAAAACATACAAGCAAGATACATCCATACTTCCAGATCGTGTACCGCTCCACAACAAATAGAACATTAAATGGCTATGTTTTAAGAAAAAACAAAAAAGAAAAACTCTTGATCTTTTTGTAAACCCTACTTCGTTTTCTCTAATAGACAAGTGTCTACCAAAATTTTTACATAAGGGACTTGAAAACCCTACAAGAATGTATAACAATAATATATGCAGATTTTTTACACTATACCGGCATCAGTCAAGAATGGTCGAAATGTACATGCATAATACATACCTACACATATACATTTAACATAAGGACTTGGATCTTACTAAATGCTCCAGCCTCATTTTTGGTAATTTCTTTAATGATTAATTGTCATATATATTTTACAAAAGACACATATATAAATGTGGGTCTATATCTATTTGTATACAGTCTGCAAATTGATTCTTGTTTTCATTCTCTTTATTTCTGGTTTCTTGTTTTCTGTGTCATTCTTGCTCTCCTGAGTGTTTTCCTAAAATGTCCACAAACAAAAACCAACAAAGAAAAGAAAAAAATAGCTGGATAAGATTATATAACATAAGAAAATATAAGTAACCATAATTCATTAGTTATTGTTAAAATGCAGACATTAATTTTGTGGTCCTTACTAGGATTACTTGTGACCAAAGTAAGTGCTGCTACTACAACTATTTCAACACCAACAACCTTGTCTGGTGATCAAACATTTTCCGATGATATCGTAATTGAATCAGGTGCTACTCTTGCATTAATATCTGGTTCTTCATATTCTTTCAATGGCAATATTGACGTTAAAGGTTCTTTAGACATTATTGGTGATTCAACAAACGGGTTAACTAGTCTACAATTTGGTTCTACTACAACAATTACAAACAGTGGTAACATCAACATCGAAAATATTAAATCGGCAGGTTCTGCCAGTGATTTTGTTATTGCACCTGCAAGTATTGATAACTCTGGTACATTCACTGTCTCGCAATTAAATGCTGCTGCTACTGTGCCAGGTACTAATTTCACTATAGCTCCAACAGGTTCCTTCATTAACACAGGTACTATTGATTTTGACACAGCTGATAAAGGTGGCACCACAAATGGGTTTTTGTACCTTGGTACTATGACAAATAATGGTATCATCAATTCTGGTGGATTATCTGCATTGCTAGCCGACCAAAGAGCGTATCAACGTAGTAGATACGATATGAAAGGTATTGTCTTCAATAATCCTATAGAAGGTGAAGGTGAAGTCACCGGTAATACTGGGGCTGTAATTTTTCTTAACACAGAAGTTATTGGAGAACAAACTTTTAATGTCCACAATGGTATGTATATTATTAATCCAAAAGTTGTACCAGGTTCCTTTAAAGTTGTGAATTTTATCGGATCAGAATTCGTTTTTTTAAATATAGACTTTAACAAATGGTATGCTGAGGATTTGGGCACCATACCTTACTACCTTCAGACTAATTTTGCAGTAGATGGTCACCGTTACTGGTTTAACTCAAGTTGTACAAATGATTATGCTGAATATGCTCAAGGTAATATTATTGTTACACCATCTGATCCTCTTTACCAATTTTATGGTACTGATATATACATGATGGATATCATAGGTTCTCAATGTCCATGGTTATCTGAACCAATTACAAAGACAACAATTGTTACTACTATAGATTCTATTACCGAGGCTACCACTCTTTCAACTTTAGTAACCTCTACAATTAACCAGTACTTCATTACTGTGTCTGAAAAGATTTATCAAGTTGCAGTACCTCCACTATCTACCACCTACACTACTACTACTGCTGATATTTCTGCTCCAACAACATCTACTTACACTACTACAGTTGTTGATAGCAATGGCTCTTTATCTCCAGAAGTTGTTGTTGTAGTGGTCACCCCATCTCCATCTACCACCTACACCACTACCACAGGCCCGGTTTCTGCCCCAACCACAACCACCTACACAACCACTATTACTGACAGCAATGGCTCTTCATCTCCAGAAGTTGTTGTTGTTGTGATTACTCCATCTCCATCTACCACCTACACTACTACTACTGCGGATATTTCTACCCCAACTACAACTACTTACACCACTACTATCACAGACAGTAACGGCTCTCCATCTCCAGAAGTTGTTGTTGTTGTGATTACTCCATCTCCATCTACCACCTACACTACTACTACTGCAGATATTTCTGCTCCAACTACAACCACCTACATAACCACTATTACTGACAGCAATGGCTCTTCATCTCCAGAAGTTGTTGTTGTAGTGGTCACCCCATCACCATCAACCTCCTACACTACTACTACTGCTGATATTTCTGCTCCAACAACATCTACTTACACTACTACAGTTGTTGATAGCAATGGCTCTTTATCTCCAGAAGTTGTTGTTGTAGTGGTCACCCCATCACCATCGACCTCCTACACTACTACTACTGCGGATATTTCTACCCCAACTACAACTACTTACACCACTACTATCACAGACAGTAACGGCTCTTCATCTCCAGAAGTTGTTGTTGTTGTGATTACTCCATCTCCATCTACCACCTACACTACTACTACTGCTGATATTTCTGCTCCAACCACAACCACCTACACAACCACTATTACTGATAGCAATGGCTCTTCATCTCCAGAGGTTGTTGTTGTAGTGATTACTCCATCACCATCGACCTCCTACACTACTACCACCGTTCCAGTTTCTGCCCCAACCACAACCACCTACACAACCACAGTTACTGATAGCAATGGCTCTTCATCTCCAGAGGTTGTTGTTGTAGTGGTCACCCCATCTCCATCTACAACCTACACCACTACTACTGCAGATATTTCTTCTCCAATCACAACTACTTACACAACCACTGTTACTGACAGCAACGGTTCTTCATCTCCAGAGGTTGTTGTTGTTGTGGTCACCCCATCCCCATCTACCACCTACACTACTACCACCATTCCAGTTTCTGCCCCAACCACAACCACCTACACAACCACTGTTACTGACAGCAATGGCTCTTCATCCCTAGAGGTTGTTGTTGTTGTGGTTACTCCAGCCCCATCTACCTTCTATACGACCACTACTGGTGATGTCTCTGCCTTGACCACATCTACCTTCACCACCACTATTACTAACAGCAATGGCTCTTCATCTCCAGAAGTTGTTGTTGTTGTGATTACTCCATCTCCATCTACCACCTACACTACTACTACTGCTGATATTTCTGCTCCAACCACAAACACCTACACAACCACTGTCACTGATAGCAATGGCTCTTCATCTCCAGAGGTTGTTGTTGTTGTGATTACTCCATCTCCATCTACCACCTACACTACTACTACTGCTGATATTTCTGCTTCAACCACAACCACCTACACAACCACTATTACTGATAGCAATGGCTCTTCATCTCCAGAGGTTGTTGTTGTAGTGATTACTCCATCACCATCGACCTCCTACACTACTACTACTGCTGATATTTCTGCTCCAACCACAAACACCTACACAACCACTGTCACTGATAGCAATGGCTCTTCCTCTCCAGAGATTGTTGTTGTTGTAATCACCCCATCTCCAAGTGGCCCAACTATCTACACCACTACTACTGCGGATGTTTCTGCTCCAACTACAACCACCTACATAACTACTATCACAGACAGTAACGGCTCTTTATCTCCAGAAGTTGTTGTTGTAGTGGTCACCCCATCTCCATCTACCACCTACACCACTACCACAGGCCCAGTTTCTGCCCCAACCACAACTACTTTCACTACTACAGTTGTTGATAGCAATGACTCTTTATCCTCAGAGGTTGTTGTTGTTGTGGTTACTCCAGCCCCATCTACCTTCTATACGACCACTACTGGTGATGTCTCTGCCTTGACCACATCTACCTTCACCACCACTATTACTAACAGCAATGGCTCTTCCTCTCCAGAGGTTGTTGTTGTTGTAATCACCCCATCTCCAAGTGGCCCAACTATCTACACCACTACTACTGCGGATGTTTCTGCTCCAATCACATCTACCTTCACCACCACTATTACTAACAGCAACGGCTCTTCCTCTACTGAGGTTGTTGTTGTAGTGATTACACCATCTCCATCTACCACCTACACTACCACTACTGCAGATATTTCTGCTCCAACTACAACCACCTACACAACCACTGTCACTGATAGCAATGGCTCTTCCTCTCCAGAGATTGTTGTTGTTGTAATCACCCCATCTCCAAGTGGTCCAACTATCTACACCACTACTACTGCGGATGTTTCTGCTCCAACTACAACCACCTACACAACCACTGTCACTGATAGCAGTGGCTCTTCCTCTCCAGAGGTTGTTGTTGTTGTGATCACTCCAGCCCCATCTACCTTCTATACGACCACTACTGGTGATGTCTCTGCCTTGACCACATCTACCTTCACCACCACTATTACTAACAGCAATGGCTCTTCCTCTCCAGAGGTTGTTGTTGTTGTAATCACCCCATCTCCAAGTGGCCCAACTATCTACACCACTACTACTGCGGATGTTTCTGCTCCAATCACATCTACCTTCACCACCACTATTACTAACAGCAACGGCTCTTCCTCTACTGAGGTTGTTGTTGTTGTGATCACTCCAGCTCCATCTACCTTATCCACTACTACCACTGGTGTAGTCACTGTCCCAATCACATCTACCTACACAACTGTAGTCACTGACAGTAATGGCTCTTCCTCTACTGAAATTGTTGTTGTTATAATCACACCATCTCCATTTAGTAGCTTTATGACATCACCAATTTCTGTACCATCTCCTCTCTATGGAAACTCCACTATATCTGGTGAAAAGATTGAATCTACTTTGAGTGGCACTCTAGTTGTTCTGACTAGGGTTGTTAATGGAGTTACTATGACTACAACTTATTGTCCAGAACCATCTGCAACTTCTGAAACAAGTATGACTGCTATCATTGGTCATAGTTCTATTGAATCTGTTTATTCAAAGAACCAACAAGAAGAGACCAACTCACTTTCTGCTGCTTCCAACGCAACTCCAGTTATTTCTGTTACTTCTACTACCCCTGGTCCAGCATTTACCAATGGTAAAAATCACCCAACATCTAGAAACTCTAGAACATCTACCACTGTAATCGGTAATAATGAGTCTAGAAGATCAGAAACATCGATGCCTTCAATGGTGCCACAAGTTTCCCAATATATTCCTGAACAGCCATCCTCATCATCAATTGCTATCACAGTACCTCATGAAGGTGTACCTTCTCTTGTATCATATGAAGGTAAAGGTAGCACCATGTATATGATGAAGTGGAGTGTTGCCCATTGCATTGGTTTATTATTATTCATGGTAATTTAAATTGATTAAAGGCAAAAAATTTTAAAATAAAGAATTCTAAATAATTTAATAATTAAATATTTCTATATAAGTATATAGTATTCTAATATTTTTTATATTGTGTATTTTTATTATTTATTTGATTTTCAAATATCTTATACAGCACAAATAGATTTACTCATTCCTAATAAACCGATAATATCTTCTCCCAATTTTAAGTAATTTAAATTATTCAATACAATTATACAATCTAATAGTTGCTATATAGACATTTTAATACATGTATGTTTTTGCTACATGTTTTGGCAATTTTTAATAAAGAGATTGTGATTAGGAAATTTACTTCTGTATAAATCGATTGATCATGGTTTAAAGGATGTAAGGTCTTTAAATCTTTTCCAATTAAGAAAAATTGTAATTGTGAAGATTTGATGCTAGTTTAATTCAAAGATCATAATAAAAGGTTTGACACATGTCTTAAAAACAGTTACAATCTTTCTTTACCTGTATTTACTGAAAAGTTAACTAGACAAATGTATTTATTCCCACATTCCTTAATTATTTTCTTTCTGTCCTCTGTATATACAAATACATCCATAGGGAACATATAATACATACATATATACATGGATGTACACTAATTAAATACCACTGTATCTTGCTAAGTCAAATAACTATATATATGTATATTTGTGTTAATATGGTCACTGTTATTAACTCGCTTAAACTTATGGTTATACTTCTATTTCTTTCTTTTTTGTAATATAATATTCAATTGTACGTAAGCTAACATATCCAATAACTATTGTACTCACATGAACAGTAGAGACATACTATAGAATTACTCTAACAATATTTGAAGAAATGGAGATTCCTTTTAGGTAGCAAAGGAAAAAAGGGAAAGAAAGAGAAATAACATGCTATTTCCCAAATGCAGAGAATTGCACACTGATGATATATTATACTTACTCTACATGTTAAGAATATTATACACAAAAATGTAGATACACAGAATTTCGTAATGTACCTTCCTTTGAAAACATATGATATCTCTTTTTGTCTTTTACTGGGTGTAGAACTTTCAAGATTTACAAGATACAGGAGAATGTCCCCTCTATATGTGAAAGATATTGTAATAATAATAATAATAATAATTATCCAAGGATTCCGATAATGTGAAAATTTTCTTTTTAAATAAGGAAGATGTAAAACTATCATAACACAGTCGTATTTTTGCAAATGTTAATTCATAAATATAGTATGTCTTGCTATTTTAATGTTATAATGGAATTAAATTCTTATTTTTTTTTTTTTTTGAATTTCAATAACTTCTCATCATTCTTTGTTGCAGTTAGAGATCCATATACAGTATTAGACATCCAGTCATAATAATGTCAGACTAATTCTTAACGAAAGTAGATTTTCTGAATAGTAAATTGAAAGATTAACATGTTAATACTCCACCATAGTATATTCTTAAATGTTGTTCAATGTTCAAAGATCGAGATAAAATCTCTTTTTATTACATTATTTTTCAAACATTAAAATAAGATCATCTGAATAAAAGACACAACAAAAATTATAGAACAGGGAAAGTAGTACAGTAGAATGAAATAATGGTGTAATCAAACTATTATTCATTATATCAAATCAATATGTCCTTTTTCATCATTACAATAACCACTAGAAATCAAACATAAATCAAATCCATGTATACTAGATTGGAATTAGTAAGGATAAATATCCTGTAAGATATGAGTAAAAAGATGATATAGTAAATTTGTTTATGGATATAGCATAATTGTATTTATGTTTATAACAGTTATCATTATGTGTTAATTTCAAAAGAGTATTGCATATGATCATAAATTATTATAACAGTATCATTCGATGGATAATGAAGTGATATAGAAGATATAATTATATTTTTCATATTGAAAATATTAGTAAGGGATGGTGTTCATGTGTTATTGGAGTATACTTTAATAGTTATATTCATAATAAAAGTGGTAGTGACACAAAAAATGGTCATAGTTTGTCAATAAATATCTTCCATAGTCACAGTCTATGCATGGAGTAAGTCGTTATGAGGTTATTTCTGATAGTCAAATATAAATGATTATTAGGTATACAGTGGTGTAACTATGCCATGTTAAATAACTGTTTGATAATATTCAATATTATATCATATGAATATGTAAAGAAGGTAGATAATAACTGGCTATTTATAAGTAAAGTTGGTTACTTATATGCTTGGTTGTCGATGAGAGTGGCTATTATTGTAATTGATTTTTTTTTCGAACTATTTTTTCAGATTTTGAAAAAAGGAAGATTGACAATTGAAATTTGAATGAAAGGAGATTGGTGGATAATGAAGAGATCATGATAGCTGATGCTAAGAGTAATTAAGTGTGATGTGTTTGTGTAGTATCATTCTTGTCTAAGACATAATATCAAGAGAAGTTGTATATTAACAAAGAGTTTATAGTTTAAGAGTGATACCATACAATCTACCAGTTATTAATGTCTAAATGAAGTAAGCAGTTTAAGAATAAAAACATAATTGAAAGTAATAGTGGTTGATATGAACTTAGTCTACTATGTATAAATCCATAGTAAAGATACACATTAATATCATGATAGCAGATACTGTGAATAACATTGAATGTTATAGATTTAAAAGAGCAATAAAATTTCCTAGATGATATTACCATAATAAACCTAGAAATGTAAGTGTAAATATAAGATGCGACAGAGTGACCATTAATGGATCACACTAATCCAGTGTATTATGTTTATGTTGTTTACATTGTTTCTATATCTTACATATGAAAAGAAAATGGTCTAAATTTATTGATCTATTTATCGTAAAACAAATGACTCTATCGTTGTTATTTTTATTCTTTCGAAAATTGTGGTTCACTCATATTTTGTGATTTAAAGAAAGAGATAGTGATATATATGTTTCAGAAACTTTTTAGAAAGAGCTCATTGCTTTGTTTACCTTGGTATAGTTGGTGGATTAAATATAAATTGTTCATATAATCATTTGACATGGGAAATAATTTTTGCTCTACTCATGGGAAAAGATATCTTGGACAGTTTTTAGAGAATTATGAGAAATATTCTATGCCTAATAATACAAAATTATTTTCCAGAAAACAAGATCGATTCAAAAACAATCTACATGTTCTATATGCAGTGAAAGCCACAAATTTGAAAAATCTGCTTACGTTTTTCATTTCAAAGAAGACTTTGATAAATAGATTTATGTTAAACACTATACCATCTTTCTACTGTTTATGATCAAGCATTTATCCTATGAAAATATTTAAAATGATATTTAATTTAAATAATCTTAATTGTTTATGGAAATATAGTTTTGTAGATTTAACATTTGGGATTAGAGTCTTAGGGATGCTAATATGGTATCTCCTGAACTATAGTAGACTTAAAGTCTAACGTTGTTATGTTTTAAGTATTTAGTAAATTGGATTTCTCGTTTATTGAAAACCCATGCAAATAGTATATATTGTATTTATTATTAAATACATATTGATCTTTCACAACTTTACTTCTTTCAAAAAAATTACCAACGATCTACCAAAATCAGTTTTTAACAAAAAAGATCTTGTGAACATACGATATATTGTCTAATTATATTATATTGGACTCAACTATATCATAATCCAATGTTGATAATTATCCCTACGATCTATCAAACTGGATCAAAGACCTCTTTAAGTGAGCTTTGATATAAAATTTCCTACGTGGATTATTTGATAATCGACTACAAAAACTCACACATTCTAATTTGTATTATTGACAACATCATTTCTCTTATCTCATCATGTTTCAGAACATCACACGCGAGGATTAAATAGTTACAACTTAATAAATAAGTACTCATAATGAACCTTTAGAGCCTAGCATAATTTTTCCATATTTGTAAGTTAGACAATCAACAAATATTATTATTGTTGTTTATTTATTAAAACAGGTCTCTTAGCACTGTGGTTTGAAATATAAATAAAGATCACTTCTCTGGAGAACTTGTAACAACTCTTTATTTATATATAATTACAACTGTAGATATTTATAAGTTTTTGTAATGTTTTGGGTCGATCTTCTCATCACAAGATTGTATATTAAGGTATTCATGAAATCGGATATCTTGCTTCAATACTATTTACAAAACGTGAGGAATTAATACTAGCTAAATAGATATAAACAGAATATAAACAACACCCTAATACTTTTGATTCTCAAAAAACTTGTGTTTTAACAACAATACAGCCAAAACAGCATAAGCTAACATATTCAAGACCTCAAGAACTATAAATATACGAAGAATTGATATGACATTTCCCAAACTTTCATGATGATTAAACCAAATGCAAGAATATTATTGATAAAGTGCTGTCAAAAAAACATAAAAGAAAAATCAAATATTCCCCATCATACCACTTTAAAAGTGTTCTTCAAAACAATTCAAAAAACAAATAAATACAACAGTAATATAATCATAGATTCATAAAAACGAATAGGTTCTTTCTGTTTTGTCTTATCCTTGTAGAAAAAAAAGATTGATAAAATAATTATCTAATGGTTGCTATTTTGTTTATTGATGTTTAATACAAGATTTTACAAAATATTTTATCGATTGTTACGTGTCTGCAAATACTTTCATGTAATGGAACTTATCCTGATGTTAACATAATAATTTTATTGTTAATAAGATCCATAGGGATATAAGAAATTTATAAGATGATGTATTGTCGTGATAATGAAATACATTCACAGATATCTTTATACATTCATGTTGGGGATGATATCCGAAGGTAATTCTTACTATAGAATAAGGCCAGCAACAACAAGTTAAAAACTATATCTGAGTATAAATAAGAGTGTTTGTATAACTAATACAGAAATTATATCAATTACAGAAAATGAATTCTTTGACAATTACCCATATACAATTCATATTTTTATTCTCAAGAGTACTATGGTATAGTTCATTT